ATATTACTAGAAAAGAAGAAAGTAGAAACATATTACCAGTGATTCCACCATTCAGAGCACTTACAATATTCCCTTTCCTCTTTCTTTCTTCACTTAGGGGCTATTACAATTTCATGTACAATTACCTATCGTACTTTTTCACTTAGCTTATCATCAGCAGTGCTGATGTCTTAGTAAACTATTCACTCACTTTCACTCAGATTATTCCAGACTTTTCAGTATTGTTAGTACTTTGATCCTTGGGTTAAAGCTTTTTCCACATTTAAATTTATTTCTACCAATAGATTCTCAGAAGTCAGAAATTTCTGTGTCAAAAGAAATGTAAACCAAAAAGATATACTTTAAAAATTTCCTGGTGGATATTCATTTCACCACTAAGTGAATATTTCAAGACATGTATTTATTAAACTTCATAAGGTAGTGTGACTCAATTTCTTGAAAGCAAATGAAGTTATTTATAAGGAAGTTTATGCATTACCTTGTTGGAGTCTGGATTCTTAATATAAGGTTCAGCACCACTTGCAATGTTTCCCATCAGGACTTTTTCAATTTTGGCCACCAAAACAACTTCAGAATGTGGATTGCTTACAGAAAATACAGCCTATGCACAGAGAAAGCAGTTCATGAGCATCTAAGACACCACACTGAAGACATTCGCAAATGCTCCTTTTTTTTTTTTTTTTAAAGGGCAGCTTTAAGGGAATTTTTCTTTGGGAAATTGCCAGTCCTATGTGATCTATTGGTAAGAACAATGGAACAAGCATTTTCTGTCCCATCGGAAGGAAACAAAAGTGCCACCTGCTTTGGAAATTTTAGCCATTCCTCTGGAAGTCCCTTGACGTAAGGTTCTTCTGATTGTCGTGGAGTGACAGTGTCGATGTTGCCATTTTCCAAAGCCACAGGAGTCCCCGAGAGCATCTGTCTCACAGCAGTGTGATTTAGATCCACGTGAAAGTCGGCGGAAATCTTTCTGCTGTCTCTGAGGTCATAAAGTGCCACACTCACAAAAAAAGGCTCAATCTGCATGAAAGAGACAGAACAGATGTTTTTGACATAAAATCATTGCCAATGCAACAGTCTCTTTAGTATGCCATTTAACAAAGCAGCAGATAAAATAAATGCAGAAAGCAAGTTCCCTTTGCCTCTGAGAACTACCTGGAACCCTTTCGTCCAGCAGGTGCCTTGGATCCCAGTACTGTATTTCACTGGTTTCCTCACTCTAGTTTCCCTGCCAAGTAGTCTCTTCCATATGTTGTACTACATGGATGGTTTGGCCTTACAAATCCTTCTAGTGATTTCCCCTACACTCTCAGAAAATACCTTCCACCTTGGTCTCCCCAGACCCCTCAAAATCTGTAATGAAATCCTAGAAGTTTCCAGATGGCACTGAGGATGAACTTGACTAGTCTAACCACTTCTCAATTTTTTATCAGAGC